AACAACCTTTTTAACACACGCTATAAATCACAGCGATTCACACACTTTACTTACGGTGCGTACTGTTTGCTTGACTCAATTATCTGTCTTTTCAATCTATCTATATCTTCAATCGCGCTGGTTTTTCTCGCCAGGCTTATATACCAACAAAGAGGGCGTCTCGAATAAACTCGGGCCTCCCCGATAATTCGTGATTCTACGAGAAACTCCAGTGCGCATGCTCCCAGAGTCACATGACTTCCGCTGTCGTAACAACATTTTTATTTACGCTTATTTATTTAGGCAACTCTTCAGATAGCTGTGGTGTTTGTTCATATCTACATACTTCTAGTCAATTCGATACGGTATACTTAAACTGAAGGATTCAAATTACAATATATCTACTTTATATTATGTGATACGGTGCAAAATAGTTATTACAAACTATAATTGCAAACTACATATAAAATTCAATGACGTGATGAGTAAATAATATTCAGTTTATTTTTAAACTCATATGAATATCCATTTCAATATAACTTATTCACCACCGTGTTTTCAAGATAATACGTGCAATTTTCTGTGTATTTATATACATGTACTCGTATGTCTAGAAAATTACATCATGAACAGAAACGAACCACTGTATCATGTCCGCCAGGTTTCCTTGCAGGGGATCGTTTGATAGCTACTTTATACTTATGAATATTGGAGAGGACAGTTGGATAGTTACTTTATACTTATAACTTTTGGAGAGGATCTTTAGATAACTATTTTATACTTATTGTTCTTGGAGAGGATCTTTAGATAGCTACTTTATACTTATGGTTCTTGGAGAAGATCTTTAGATAGCTACTTTATACTTATGGTTCTTGGAGAGGATCTTTAGATAGCTACTTTATACTTATGGTTCTTGGAGAGGATCTTTAGATAGCTACTTTATACTTATGGTTCTTGGAGAGGACAGTTGGATAGTTACTTTATACTTATGACTTTTGGAGAGGATCTTTAGATAACTATTTTATACTTATGGTACTTGGAGAGGATCTTTAGATAGATACTTTATACTTATGGTACTTGGAGAGGATCTTTAGATAGCTACTTTACACTTATGGTTCTTGGATGGTTTGTCTGATAGATACTTTATACTTATGGTTCTTGGATGGTTTGTGTGATAAATACTTTACACTTATGGTTCTTGGATGGTTTGTCTGATAGATACTTTATACTTATGGTTCTTGGTTGGTTTGTCTGATAGATACTTTACACTTATGGTTCTTGGATGGTTTGTCTGATAGATACTTTATACTTATGGTTCTTGGTTGGTTTGTCTGATAGATACTTTATAGAAACAAAAATTCTTCATAAGTATAAAGTATCTATCAGACAAACCATCCAAGAACCATAAGTTAGCATAGTAGGTATTATAAAAAATGTGTTATATTGCTACGTTCAATATTTATAACTTGTTATAAATATACCAACACTTCTTAGTACCACACCTGAAGCCATGTTCTGGTACTGCATACTGGTATGTACCAGCTGAAATTCACTCCAATAAACTTTTAAATAATGATCTATACGATGCATCAAAACCTTAATGAAAATGAAATTACGATTTTGGTCAGGTGTCTTGAATATTTTCAGAGTAACAACGTCTCCCGAGTTCTGCAGCATTAATATAGCCTCACTCAAAGGTTTTCCCCTCAGACTTTGGCCATTGATAGCCAGGAGTCGATCTCCCACGTGGATAGCTCTTGTCCTGTTAAAACAAAGCAAATATTTTCCATCTGATGTATAACGAGTCATATTTCTTATTTTCATTTATAAATCAATTGTGGCATCAAATTGACCAGAAATTCACTCCTGAATATATATTATGTACTTGTAATTTTAATCAGTTTACATTTTCAACCACGTAATAAATCATGAATATATTTTGACTTTTAGAATTACAGATCTGTGTGTTTTAATTGGTTCTATGTATATTATTCTATTGAACAACTTTGTTTGTTTGTTTTGAATTTCGCGCAAAGCTACACGAGGTCTATCTGCGCTAGCCGTCCCTAATTTAGCAGTGTAAGACAGCTAGTCATCACCACCCACCGCCAACTCTTGGGCTACTCTTTTGCCAACGAATAGTGGATTGACCATCACATTATAACGCCCGTATGGTTGAAAGGGCGAGCATGTTTGGTGTGACGAGGATTCGAACCCACGACCTTCAGATTGCGAGTCGAGTGCTTTAACCACCAAGCCATGCCAGGCCCTATTGAACAAATACGAACATTTTAATAATAGAAAGTTAACGATTTAGTGTCTCTGTTAGCTATAATAAGTGGGTAATATTGTATAACGTCATATACAAAAAGTTGCTCACGATTTATAGGAAACGTTTGTATGTCCAGTCTCCATGCCCCTGGCCATCCCCATGACCTGTGACTACATAGGCTGAAATCCTTTGTTGCCACAGATTTGAAGTATGGTAATTTTCAAGTGCAGTTGGAGTCTAAAATTGATCCGTCTTGTAAGGATTACTTTAAAAATCTTATCCAAACGACGTCTTCCTATTCTTCAACTATAAAATCGTTCAAGTTAGCGTTTTAAAGAAAGGGATATCTGTAGTGTTGAACTGTGTTGGTAAAGATTGTTTGTTTATAATTAAGCACAAAGCTACACAATGGGCTATCTGTGCTCTGCCCACCACGGGTATCGAAACCCGGATTCTAGCGTTGTAAGTCCGCAGACATACCGCTGTGCCACTAGGGGCTGTAGGTAGAGAAGGGAAGACGTAATTCTAGAAGTGATAAAAAGGCTACTCCACGGACGTTTCACACCAGAGTCAAAAAAGAAATTTAAGCATTTGTCACAGTAAGTAATTTATGAATACAGTGGTCTAGTGCAAGTAAAGTAGGAGCTTATAAATCAAATAACACACACACACACACAGATTTAGATCTGTAAAAGCTGTATTCATTCTTCTCCCAAGTATATATACCTCATATGTAACCTGGCCCGGCATGGCCAGGTGGTTAGGGCGCTCGACTCTCAATCTGCGGGTCGCGGGTTCGAATCCCCGTCCCACCAAACATGCTCGCTCTTTCAG